CCGGCGCGAGAAACGAAGATTTCAAATTTCCAGAAATAATGAGCAGTAGCAAAAATGAATTGAGTGCGCAATAAAAATCTAAAGACGACGTCGCTTGTGTTGAAACGTTATGTTCAACAAAACGACGTCGCGCTTGTGTTGAAGGTTATGTATATCGCTAAACGGCGTCGTCGGTTTTGTTAAGCTAAGACTTCCTTTTTTTGGTTCATTGTTGATCTTCAAGACTTCAACAGACACAACTGCTTATAGAATCAATTATTCAAATGCCGTAAGCTTTTATTTCATGACTATAACCACTCAAAACAGACTCAGATTTTCCAATGAAAATGAAGAATCCTCAAGTCCTTATAACAATAAAAGAGAAAGAGAATGAGAAGGAAGACGAAAAAATCTCTCTTTTTCACTCGCTACAAATACAAAAACACAAAAAAGTACTCAAAATTTTCCAATCTTTAAACACTGCGTTGTTGATTCCAGCTAGGAGGAATGCGATCAGAAGTGATCGGAGTAGCAGCAGGAAGACTTTTTACGTTGATGTTAAGAGGATATAACCGATATTCGATATCCAACTCTCTGCATAATCTACCAATCTCTTCAAGTAATTGACCTCTCCTCACATATCTCTCTCCCATATCTTGATGATTCATCTTATGGGTTGGCCACATCGCGATCTTCACACTGTTTAGTCCACACATATCTCTAAACACGATCATCGGCGATGGATGCCAATGATCCTTCTTGTTATCTACATAGCTGCATAAACACACAAAAAACAAAAAATTCATATTAGGCAATGTTTTTTAAAGTTTATGATTGAGGGTTTAGGGTTTTAGCTACTAACCTGAGTATCCTCTGTTTCAAGGCGGTTGTCTTTTCAGGTGGAGTTGCTATATGGACAAAGAACTCAATGGCATCTTGCATATCCGGACTGCGGTAATAGTTAGCGATAGGTTTTGTACCGAGAAGACTGTTGGGATATACAATCTTCTGATTATCAAATCGAAGAAAGACAGTAGTCAAAATGTTCATCTCTTCCACAATCAGCTATATATACAAAAAAAAAAAACCAGAGGATTAGCTCTTTCTTTTAAGTATTGAGTTAATGTAAAGGCAGAAACAGAGTTTAAAGGGACAAACCTGGACACCGTCTATTTCACACCTGTCACCGACATCAAACGGATGCATAACGAAGACGAAAATGACAGCTTCAAAGATGGTTTTGCATGAATTTCCAAACACAAAGACTACAAGAAGAAGCTGAGAGCTTATGACAAGCAAGAACTTAGTTGTAGCGATTCCGAGAATGAGAAGCCAGATGATTAAAATCACAATGCTGACCAATACATCGACGATTCGATGAAGCCTGTTCACTGCTGTTTTTGTATCGTTTAATGTTAGAGCTAGTGCTCTTCGTTCTCTAAAAGCATTAACCTAGAGAAAGATTTAAGAACTTAGAGTCATTTTCATACGTATGTAAGAAAGCTTATGAAAGTTGAATTTAAAACAAACACTTACCACCCAATTCTTCAGACAAGATTTACTGATTTTGTGACTTTCAGAAGCTCCTTCAAAGAGATCCATTGCTCTTTCAGACTCATCTTCAGACAGAAAACGCATAAAGTCTTCCATATATATGTACCTAAAACCAGAAAAAATCCTCTGTTTTTTTATCTTATCTTTAACAAACATTAAATCAAAGTTGTTCATAAGATTATAGTGTATATACCTGGATCCAGGCTCAGCAACATTCTGAAAAATCTTCCTCGCTGCAAGTTTTGCTTCAAATTCACTTCTTATTTGTGTGGCTTTATCATCTTCTTGAGTCGTCGTGTCTTGTATTTGTTCATCTAAAGTAGAAAGAGTTCCTTTTCTTATAACATTCATCAGCCTCTTCATTTTCCAAGCTGAAACGTTTTTAGTGTTCATTCTCTGCAAATGATCGATCCTTATCCCTTCTTTCTCTCCTTCTTTCTTAGAACCACACCGCGAAAGCACCGGACTTTTCCCAACTCTACTCGGACTCTTCTGCAGCCTTCCGCTTCCAACAGTCCCTTGTGGCGAAGAAGAAGCCGCCTTTGGACCTAGAGGAGATAGCTTACGTCCCGCTATCTCGAAGGTCTTTATATCGTTTGCTACTTTCTCCTCTTCTATATGAATCTCAATGCGAGGAGGTCCCGAGAGAGTCTCAATCACATATTGAGTAAACAACGATTCTTGAATTCGATCGAAGTAAGTACTCATATGGAAAGAGGAAGCAAGAACTTTAACCAGTAAAGTCTTTATGAGCCAGATGATAACAGCAACGAGTAGACAAATTAACACTTTAGTCACATACTTAAGCACAGTGCTGCGCATCTCTCTTTCTACTTTCTTGTCGAACAAGAAATGCCATGCGATCAACACAAGCCCTAGCCATAGACAGTTCTGTACCGCCTTTCGAATCCCGTAAACGAAATACAAAACCTTTTTTCTCCAAAGAAAATTACTTTCAACAAAGTAGACGAATAGCTTCACAAACCAACTAGAAACCAATCTCCCACATATCAAGACAAGAACCATCACTTCCCATTTCCATAGAGCTAGGTCCCAAAGTGTCTTACCACGCAAGTAAGGTATAACAAGGCTACAAATCAAACCAGCAATGATCAGAATCAGAAAAATCCATTCCATAATAACCCAAACACATAACTTCTCCTTCCTTAAACCTTCCGGTAAATCCTCCTCCGAGAAAGGATCTTCCTCTTCTTCCATATCCATGGCTCCTCCTTGGTTTGGAGTTCCCGGTTTAGTGTTTCTCCCACTAAAACCGGGTTTTAAATTCCCGGACTTTGGAGTCCGACCAGAAACCATCTCCGGATACGTCGGAGTTGGAGGATCCATCAATCTAGATCTAGTCTTCGTCTTCATCAAAGTCTTAGTCCTCATCGTCGATCTATTGGAGCTACACTTGACAACCTCTAATCCATCTACTCTGTTTTCTTCATCTCCACTACTATCACTATCTTTAACAGACGGAGAAAGCGTGACTCTGTTCTGCCTCCGTCTAATCGCATCACCGGTTCCGTTACGGTAACTTGCCGTAGCCGTCGCCGTTACTGGTGAAGCAGACCCGGAAACTGCACCCAAGGACGGAGGAATCGTGTTGCTTTGAAGCTCAGGCATGTTAGCTTCCATGTCGAGAGAGATTTCATCACCGGAAGCTTTTTGCTTGTTGAGAAATTGATTGATGAGCTTCGAGGGTGGATCTGGCTCCTCTGATTTATCACTCCTCCGCCGCATGAAATCAAAACTTCCGTCGTCTTCTCCACCTCCGGGTGGTTTAGAGCTCTTATCAGTATGCCAGAAGTTAATGCTTGATTCTCTCCAAAACTTTTCTGAATCACCATTGTCTTCACCGTCGATCTTGACAACAACATCTCGCCGTTGATCATTCGAATCAACGGCCATTTTTGAAAGATTCAAACTTTCTGGTCGTGATAGTAAAACAAAACTTGGGTTTTTTGTTTTCTTGAAGTAAAAAGTTTGGTTTTGTTTTTGTTTTTGAGAAAGAGGAAAAAGAAAAGTTGATTCTTGATTTTCTACAAGTAATGGTGGATGATATTTAAATCATTTTAATTAGTATTTTTTTTAAAAAATAATGTTGAACCATGTGAGATTGTGATGATCTTGCTAGGGCTAAAAGACAATGTTTAAACCTAGATAAGAAAAAATCAATATTTTTTTTAGTTTATGTTGTACTGGAAGAAGACGAACATGGAGTTATCGATCAGGTGATATTATCATTTTTCTATTTTCCGCTTCTGAATCATTTAAAAACATTTCACGACTATCTACTCAGACCAAAACATAGACTCGTGTCTTTCTCTCACTAGCAAACTAAAAAAAAAAACTCGATTAAAAGTCAAAAGTAACACAAATGGTGTTGGAACTTGGAAGCTCAAGAATTTTTTTTTAAAAAACCAAATTTTAAATTGTTGAAGAAAAAATGGGGGCCATGTTCACTGTCCAGAAACGAAGCAGTTGAAGAAGTAATAAAAATTGTTGTAACATTATTAATAATTAATAAATAAACTTATCGGATTGGTGAAAATTAGCTTACGTGGTGAGATCTTACGGCGCAGAGGTGATAATAAATTAACTAATGGTATATGAGTCAGACACGTGGTTGGCTAAAGTTTGGTCTGCTTAATAGTTTTTTTTTGTTTCTGTGAGGCGTATATACAAATTTTTAAAAGAGACCTAATTGGAAACAAATAGAAAACGACACGAAAATGACACGTTTTTTGATAAAAACGGCAGGTCGATTAGGATACAAAATGCAGTTTAGGTAATGTGTGAACAGAGAGACACATGGTTCAATAAGAGTGGTCACAGAAGAATTTGTTTTCATATATCTTGTAATTGTCTAATATATATATATAAAATGTTACATAATTATTACTGGCCAGATAAATGAATAATTATTTTCAAATATAAATGCATGAATCAGAAGAAAACAGTCTGATACATGTGACAAAAAAATAAAATAAAAAGCTGTTTGATTCATGTGTCCATGTGAATGATCTAAAGATTTCCTAGATTTTTTATTGTAAAAGTGAAAAAAATCACTTATTTTTTTAGATATTTAGGAAAAACGGGCCTGACTAAATATCTTATTGGGCTCATTCAGTTTATTGAAATAGCCCAAATTCAAATCTTGTTCTATCTTATGTCCCATATCGCTTGTTTTATTAGTAAAACAGAGTGTTTATATACCATTAGAGTCGACAAAGCGATTGTTACCTTCACAAAAATTGGAATATTAGCATGGCCCCTGTGCTAGGATGACACGCTTAATTCGAGAAATGGTCCAAATTTTTTTTGAAGTTATTTCAGATCGACGGCATACATTGTTTGCAACTCTGATGATCGGAAACCTAATTTCCAAATTTTGTTAACCAAATTTCCGGTACAAATCTAATTTAACCGGACACCGGTTTGGTTTATATGAAGAATCATCTCCTCTCTTCTAAAGACCCTCTCTAAAACCCTTTGCGTCACTCTCTAGAGAAGATCTCAGGTGCTTCAATGGCGCTTATTGATTATTATTAATCACTGAATCTTCCAAATTTGATTTCGCAAGCTGAATCTCTGAAGCCATGGCGATTCTGCTCAAAACAATTCTCAAAAATCAAACTTTGTTTAAGACTCTCTTGAAACCTCAGTTTGTCTCGCCTTTGATTGTTTCCAGAAACTTTACATCGGAAGAAGCTCATAAGAAGCCACTCTCTGTTTTCTTCGAAGAGGCTGTTGGATTAAGACCCAAATCAGAAACGAGCGAAATCGAAGAAGAAGAGGGCAACGAATTGAAGAGAAAGCTTTTGGAATTGGAGAGGAAACTCATTGAACTGAAGAAATCGGAACCTGTGAGAAAGAAGAAGCACAAGGGGAAGGTTTTGATATCAGAGAAAACAGAGCAAAACGAGAAAAGGAATAATCTTTACAAGTTGTTTAAAGGAGATGAAGAGAAGGAGATGAAGAAACATAGTAGGGAAAAGGAGGACGTGATTAGGGTTTATAAGGAGCTTCCTATAGAGATGGTTTCGTTTGTGAGGCTTCTGCATAAAGAAGGGTATTTGAACAAGGCTAATTTCATTACTGGAGAAAAGTTGGATATGGGGAATCTTGATGAAGAGTATGCTAGAACTTTTGTTAAGTTTGCTGCCGAAAGATTTGGAAAGGATTACCAGGAAATAGCAAAGTAAGAATCTTTTTACTTGTATACTGATCATACATATTGTGTTGATTCTATCAGATTGTTAAAAGTTTGGATAATTGATTCTCCTTAGGCTTCGTTTAGAGAAAATGTATGTGAAAAATGTTCATGTTCATTTGAAAAACTTGTCGTGAGTTTGCATTGAAGTATATGTAACATTTCTTGGGGAGTATAGGTTGGGGTTGGAAAAGAGGGGTTTAGTGCTAGTTCTTTAGGAATGAGGAATCTTTTGTGATGCATTGAGTTCTTGTGGTTCGATTGCAGGCTAGTTGTAGCATTGATTGAGAAATTCTGATGTAAGAAGTCGTTAATACATTTGTAGATGCTTCAGATGGAACTATTTCTTGAGTGTCAAGTTTTAGAATCTCTTGTATTGTCTTGATTGCCATACCCTGCAGCATTTTATTTGCCCTTAGTTAAATTGTTGTTTGGATAATTGATGGATAAAGATTAGGGTTCGTTTAGAGAAATGTTTGTTGAAATGTTCATCTTCATGGGTCTCTGATGAAAAACTTGGGCATGTCCTGGTGAAAAATTCTCAGTATGCAGTTCATTTCTATACAGTGCGACACTGCTTAGAGTTTGCATTGTTGTATGTTTAACATTTCTTGGAGAGTATAGTGAAGTTGGGAAAGGAGGGGTTCTGTGCTACTTCTAATGGAATGAGGAATCTTTTGTGATGAATTGATGTCTTTTGTTTTGACCATAGGCTAGTTGTCGCATAGATGCCTAGAATGTATAGTCTTAATTGCCTCAATCCCTGCAGCATTTTATTCGCCCGTACCGATTGTTGCAGCTAGGCAGTTTGAGATTGATTCGATCATCTTATTGTTTCCACGGCTTTACATAACCCCAGATTTAACTTACAGGTGGTTATCAGGTAGCGACCTGAAGAAGATTGTGCTCTTTGGTTGCCCGAGTTTGGAAAAAAGGGCGGTATTCGCTGCTAAAACATTGCGCAACTTTTTCGATATCCATGAGAATAATGTAAGCTTTATGTATACACACACACTACGCTGTCTTTATCTCATTTTGCAACTCCCCAACTGCATCTAACCAAGTCTTTTTTTTTTTTGCGTACTAGGTGTGTGAGAAATGCGTGTTAAAAGAGAAGTGCAAGTTTCCAAACCAGAGTGTATGGGATGGCAAAACAAAGCACTTGCACTTGTCTGTTGTGATGAAAGTCATCACACTATATCCATTAGACTTGGCACATCCGAAGCTACAAGTTCCTCAAGAGGTACAAGACTCAGTCTCAAGATTGCTGATGGAGATTCAGAACCTAAGCCGAACTATCTGTACTCCTCTCGCCTGAGTTAAAACCCTAACAAAGATTTATTTGTTGTAGACATCAATTTAATGTTCTTACAAAATGGAAGTTGAACCAAAAAAACAAACTCTTATGAAAATGAACCCTTCACTTCCATTTTTTACTTGCAACAATTGCAACTGATAAGGGTACACATCCGAATACTTGGTGTTTTGACCTTTTTGTGCCGCAATTGATCTCCTTCAGAGTTTAGACTAATCTTTGGTCATTAAAACCCTCTGGCTTAACCAGAAACTTTGTGGATAAGTATGGAAGGAATGAATGGGTCTTCAGAAGAGACAAAGGCTCACCTGACAAAGAAGCCTATCATCAAGAGCAGGGCCGGTCCTAATGTGTGGGAGGCCTAAAGCAAATCACTGAACATGTGGCCTTATCTTAAAAACAATTTTAATGTATATTTTTACTTATAAATTTTCTGAAAATAAAATGTAAAACTTACTAGATTTTTAATTTTATAGTGCAAAACTAAATAAATCTTACTTAAAAAATAAAGTTTGGATTAAATTTATATACTTCTGATATGAAATTGTTTAGTTTTCAATTACATGTAGTTCCGCTTTGATTATAATTTCATTTTAAATGTTGAAAAAAATGAGAGATGATAGACTTTAGTGAGAATTGAAAATATATAAACTAAAAAAGAAATATTAAATTTAGAAGATATGGAATAAGTAAAAATGGAAAGCATATGAATCATCTGAAGTCGTGAGACATCTTTCTTGTTAAGAGAAACATAACACAAATGTCTATATATAACGGATTTACTTTTGGATATTGTGGCCTCAAAATTTTAGTATTTTAAATGTAGCCTAAAGCATGATGCTTTGTCTGCCTTATGACAAGGCCGGCCCTGATCAAGAGCCACAGGCATTGCTATCAAACGTGGCGGTAGGCCTGGGCATTCGGATTTCAAATCGGATTCGGATCGGATATATTCAGATTCGGATAATTCGGGTATGAGAGTTTATTATCCGTTCGGATTTTATGATTTTTCGGTTCGGTTTCGGTTCGGATATATTCGGATTCGGATAATTTGGGTAGGAGAATTTATTATCCGTTCGGATTTTATGAGTCATCGGTTCGGTTTCGGTTCGGATAGGTGTCGGATTCGGATCGGTTTTTGGGAAAAAAAAAACTTAAAAATAGTTCAATGTTAATAAAAATTAATTTAATCTTACTAAAATTTGGTTAAATTTTGCAAAAATATGTATAATTTTAACAAATATAACTAAAATTTTTCCGAAATCTAGGATATTTAGGATATTTTTGTTATTTGCTATAAAATTACAACTAAATATAACTAATATTTTTGGATATATAATTTTTATTTCCGGTTTTCGGATATCCTTTCGGTTTTCGGTTCGGATCGGATTCGGTTCGGGTAATTCGGATAGGAGAATTTATTATCCGTTCGGATTTTGTGACTATTCGGTTCGGTTTCGGTTCCAAATTTTTCGGATCGGTTTCGGATCGGTTTTCGGATTTCGGTTTTTATGCCCAGGCCTAGGTGGCGGTAAGGTGATTGAAAATTTTTGTGCGTCTTTCAAAATTACTTTCTTCACTTTAAAGTTCACTCGCTAGATTCCATAGCATCTCCATACATAAGATTTTTTTGTTAAACTCTCCAAGAAAATATATTTAAATTTCCAACCTTTTTTCGTGGGTCTGAGCTATCTGTTAAACCCTAGTTTGATTACACTTTGGATATCGTAAAAATTGTGGCCTTTTCGAGTTTCTTGAGATTTGGAGCTACACTCTTCTTAAACCTCTCAAGTGGAGTTGCAAAGTTTAGTCCTTTGATAAATTCCCCGAGTTTGTCTCGCATGTGGATTTGAATACCGAAGAAACAATGTCTGTGGAAAGATCTTTGGAAGCTTGGGAAGAAGTTCAGAGACATGGACACGACTTAGCTGACAGACTTGCTCAGGGCTTTAACGGTTTGATTCAAATCAACCCACCTTCATTTCCATGGCCGAATCATTATAATTCCAAGCTATTCGATCTCGAGTTCTCCGGTCAGCATTTCGGGATTAGGGATTCTAAGTTTTCTATTAACCAACCCATCAATGGCGTTTCGGCTATTCTTGATATTGGGAACAAGATTGGTCAAGCTGGTGTTGATTTTGGCGCTGGATTGAATGTGATGGTTCAGCAATTCTTCAGAAGATTACCTGTACCGTTCCGACATGACGAGAACCCGTCTGTTTCTACTGAGATAGATACTGTCAGGAGGAGCCATATGTTAGATTATGGAGCTTTAGGTTTCGATGGGACAAGAAATCAACCGGAAAAGATGAAAGCTTTGATCGGAAAGGTGAGATGAAGAGATTGAGAGAGTAGAGAGATTTTAGAGATGGGAAAGATTATTTCTCTTTCTTACTCAATTTGGTAAATACAAAGGTTCCTTTTAAGGACACACAAACGGAATATCCTCAAGGATATGCCATATGTACAACGGTCACAAAGAGATAAGACGCGTCATAAAGGGATAAAGCGTTTCTTGTCTTCTTCTTCTTTTGCGAGGTAACGGCTCCAAGGGGAAGGGTCTAGCGGCTTCTAGAACCTTGGTGAAGCTTTGGATAAGCTTAGGAAGGCTGGAGATCCCAATGGGCCGAGTGGACTTGAAATGGTACGGACGGCCCGAAGGTGATCGTACGGACGAGTGGTGATCCGTACGGACGAGTGTGAACCGTACGGACGAGAAGCACAAGATGGTTTCCTCGACCCGGATGCTTCCTCACTTGATTCTACTCGTGCCAAGATGGATCTTCTTCTTCATTTGGTTCAATACTCCCCCTCAAGTTTAACCGGAGATGAAGGTTAAACTTGGACCCAAATTCAACCACCTCATTAAAAACCTAAGTGTAGAAAACCTCATGGGATAAAACCACACTTAGGGAAAAAGAGTATGGGATATTTGGCTAAGGGGATTGTGGCTGAGTTAAGTCAACAAGACCTAACTTTTGGTGAATGTACTCACACACCTTGGTGCTAGCTCCTTTGGTGAAGATGTCAGCCAATTGTTCTTCACTTTCGGTATAATGTGGCAAGATGACTCCAAGTTGGATTTGCTCTCGAACTTTGTGGCAATCGACTTCAATGTGCTTCGTTCTCTCATGAAACACCGAGTTGGTTGCTATGTGAATGGCGGCTTGGTTGTCACAATGCATGGTGATTGGTTGAGGCGTGTCTATCCCAAAGTCTTTGAGGAGAGCCTTTAGCCACATTAGCTCCGTAGTAAGCTTTCTCATGGCCCGGTACTCAGCTTCAGCACTTGAAAGAGACACAACCTTTTGCTTCTTGCTTCTCCAAGTCACTAGATTTCCACCAATGAAAGTACAGTAGCCGGTTGTTGATCTTCTATCATTCTTGTCTCCGGCGTAATCCGCATCACAATACCCAACAAGCTCCGTGTTCCTATTGCATCCCATCCAAATGCCTTGACCCGGAGCGCCTTTAAGATACTTGAGAATGCGGTTCACCATATTCCAATGGTGTTGGGTTGGAGCTTGCATTTGTTGGCTCACTACATTCACGGCAAAGCAAATATCAGGCCTAGTGATGGTTAAATAGATGAGCTTACCTACTAGCCTCCGATACTTGGTAGGATCTTCGAAAGGTTTGTTGTCATGCTCCCCCTTTCGTCTAGCTTTGTAGTCATCTTCCAAGGGAGTCTTTGCTGGTTTAGCGCCAAGCTTACCTACTTCATCAAGAAGATCAAGAGTATACTTTCGTTGAGATAAGAAGAGACCCTCCTTTGATCTACATACTTCTATCCCAAGAGAGTATTTTAGTTCTCCAAGATCTTTAATATCAAAGACACTTTTAAGGAAATCTTTAGTATTTTGAATACCAACCTTGTCATTCCCGGAGATGATAATATCATCTACATAAACGAGAATGACTACTATACATTCTTGGCTAGGGAGAGTGAAGAGTGTATGATCAGCTTCAGATCTCTTGAATCCTCTTCCTAGAAGTGTGGTGCTAAGCTTGTGATACCAAGCTCTCGGAGATTGCTTAAGGCCATAGATTGCTTTGTTGAGCTTAAGAACTTTCCCGGGTGCTTCTTTATCTTCTAGACCCGGTGGTGGTCTCATATACACTTCTTCCTCTAATTCTCCTTGAAGGAATGCATTCTTGACATCCATTTGCCAAAGATCCCATTCCAAGTTAGTAGCCAATGAAAGAACCACTCTAACCGTGTGAAGTTTGGCCACCGGGGCAAAAGTATCAAGGTAGTCTTCTCCATATTTTTGAGTAAAACCTCTTGCTACAAGTCTAGCCTTGTACCTCTCAATGTCTCCATCACTTTTATACTTGATGGTGAATACCCATTTAGAGGTCACGGCTTTCCTTCCTCTAGGTAGATCTTTTTCATCCCATGTGTGGTTGTTTATCATGGCTTGTCTTTCGGCTTCTATAGCGTCTCTCCACACTTGATGTTGCATGGCTTCTTCATATGTTGTGGGAATCCAATGTTGATCAACTTTGCTAAGGTAGACTTGATGTTCTTCGGGTAGGTGAGCAAGAGTGCACACGGCTTGAATTGGATGAGCTACCGCATTGGCATTGTAGTAGACTCTCTTGTCTTTCCATGTTGAGGGATGAAAGCGAAGTCTTTCACTTCTTCTTAAAGGTATCACTTCTTGAGTCACTTCTTGAGTAGTATCTTCTTCCTCTTGATTCACTACGTTGGAGCCATCACCATCGGGTATATGATCTTCTTCTTGAGTGTTGAGATCATTCTCTTCATTTTGAGTGTCTTGGACTTCTTCCTCAAGACTTTCTTCTTCTTGTTCTTGAGTCTCTTGTCCTTGTGGCGGGTGTGGAGCTTGAGTTTGTGAAGGTTGGTAGTTCTCAATTCCAAGCTTCTCAAGAATAATCCGAAGGTTAGTTGCTCTATCCGATGGTGAGCTAGACAAATCCTTAAGACTTTCCCAATCCTTCTTGTCATAGAATCCCTTGTCTTCCACAAACTTCACATCTCTTGACACCAATACTTTCCTTGACTCCGGTACATAACACTTGTAACCCTTTTGAGTTGTTGAATACCCGATGAACATTCCCTTAGTGCTTTTGGCTTGGAGCTTGTTCCTTTGATCTCCGGGAACTAAGACATAGCAAACACAACCAAACACACGTAAGTGATCAAGGGAAGGCTTAGTCTTAGTGAGTACCTCAAATGGAGACTTGTCTTGTAGAATCTTTGTTGGAGTTCTATTGATCAAGTAACACGCTGTCATCACGGCATCACTCCAAAATCTCTTTGGAACATTGGTGTGAAACATTATGGACCTTGCAATCTCCATTAGGTGTCGATTCTTGCGTTCAGAAACACCATTTTGTTGAGGAGTGTAAGGACAACTTGTTTGGTGGATGATTCCGTGTGATGCTAGGTGCTCCTTGAATGCTTGACTTGTATACTCCCCACCATTGTCGGATCTAAAAATCTTAATCTTGGCATTGTATTGGTTAGTCACATAAGTATGGAAGTTTTTAAAAGCTTCAAGAACACGATCTTTTGAAGGAAGGAGAGTAAGCCAAGTATACTTTGATTTTTCATCAATAAATGTGACAAAATATTTTTGGTTTTCTCTTGATAAACAAGGTGAAGTCCACACATCCGAATGAATTAAATCAAAGCAACTTTCATAAATAGTAGAAGACTTAGGAAAAATAGCTTTGCAATGTTTACCAAGAATACAAGCTTCACAATCACGACTTTGAAATGAAACTTTTGGTAGCATTAAACTTAAAGCCCGAGGATGGGGATGACCTAGTCTAGCATGCCAAATAGCACTATTCGCAACGACAATACTTGAACTAAAATGAGAAGATAAAGGTTCGGATAGCTTTGTGTCTTCTAGAACATAAAGACCATCCTTTGTAACTCCTTGACCAAGCACCCTACTTGATTCAATATCCTGAAAGTAAACATCATTAGGTCCAAATATCGCATAACAATTTAAATCGGTCGTTGCTCTTTTAACGGAAAGCAAGTTAGAAGTAAAATTTGGCATGTAAAAGGCTTTAGACTTCTTATCAAATAGCTCTAAATCACCTATTCCTTTAACCGGAATTTTATCCCCATTAGCAATTACCACGTTTCCTAAAGCCGGTTCAATATTGTTCATTAGCCTAGAATCACTAATCATGTGATGAGAGGCTCCCGAATCAACAATAAGAGGTTTTAGAGTATGAGCAATAGCATGATAGGATTTACCGGATGACTCCTTAAGAGCCTTAATGAGAGCATCGAGATCAGACTTCTTCACATACTCCGAAGACGCCGTCATTGCCACTCCAACACCATTAGCTTGAGTTGAGGGTCCGGGTCCGGAGATGTCTTGAGTCTCTTGGCTCCAGTTCGCTTGATGAGCTTTAGGATCCTTCCATTTACTTGGTCGGAGATGGGGATGGAGAATCCAACACTTCTCCTTGGTATGACCCGTCTTTTTGCAATGATCACAAGTTAGGCCTCTCTTGTTCTCGGACTTGTAGCTTCCCTTGTTGGCGGTGGTGAGCTCTCCTTTGTTGGCTGTAGCAAGCTCTCCTTTGTTTCCGAAGAGACCAAGAGATACTTGCTCCTTTTGGATTTGAGAGCACACTTCTTCTAGGTTAGGTAGCTTCTCGGCTCGGAGCAAGTGCTTGATGAGATCATTGTAGGTGGAGTTCAAGGTGAGAAGGAGACCAAAGACCTTGTCTTGTTCACGCCTTTCGTTGAGGATCGCGGGATCAATGGTGTTAGGCCTTAGCATCTCGAGCTCCGCCCAAAGAGACCTAAACTTGCCGAAATGTTGAGTGAACTCCATGTCTCCTTGAGAGAGATCGTTGATGGCCTTCTTCACTTCGAACACCCGACTCAAGTTGGAGAGATTCCCAAACACATTAAAGAGAGTATCCCAAAGCTCTTTAGGAGTTTCACAATAGGAGTAAGCTTCGAGTATTTGTTGGTGTCGGATCCCGCACCAGAAGTCCGCGACCAACCAAAGATTGCCACGTAGTCAAGGTAACGGCCCATAAAGGATGAAGCCCATTGGATCCATGAGTCAAAGGAGCGTTCGAAGTGGTTGTCACCACTTCGAGAATCCGAAGTGAATGTACTGGGACACGAGTTCGGTGTAGAAGACACGGGTAAGTCGGTTCAAGGAAACTTGGGCCAAAAAAGGCGAGGCCCACGAAGATCAGAGTCAACTCAAATTCAAACGTTGAGCATTAAAGTCGAAGAATCA